AATGAATATTGAGCTCTATTAGCTGCCTTAGGTTTTAGTTGTTTGATTTAAGTGTATAGTTTGAACTACTAATTTGCATGTAGTTCCTAAACATAGAGTTAAGCACTGCACCCAAGAAAATCCCATTTAAACTTTTTGACTGAGGAAAATTGTGTTTAAATGTGATACTACTACTACTAGGGAACTACATCTGTGAAAAGGAGCATATTTATAGTAATATGTGTATTTGCCATGTCTTCTGTGGAGAACTGAATTGATCTTAACTTTGCGTTGCCTTGTTGGAATCCCAGTCTAGTTCCTGTTCCCTTGCAGGCAATTGTTACCCAGTAGATAAACCAGTGAATGTCTACATGTATTTCTTGCAGTGTGTTTGTCAGATGCCCAAATGTGAGATACATATTCTGGGGAGCCTATCCATTATCTTGCTACTGCCTTCTAGCAAAGCAAGTGCTATGTCAGTTTTTTTCCTTTCATGGATGAGAACTCTTTTTCTTTCCTTTTTTATTTTTATTTTTCTTTCAGTCCAAATTAGGTGTTTGTGTATTGAGTTTCTCCACATGCTTTAGATGTTTATATCCATCTGGCATAGTATTACTGTAGCAATCAGTTTAACAGATGACAATAGTAAAAGCTGTAAGAGAAAATTTCTACATGATTTAACATTGAAGACAAGTTGATTTGAAAAAAAAAAAAACAACAACAAAAAACTGTAAGAAAGATTTTTAATGCATTCAATTCACTTTTTTTTCCTTTACACATACTGTGTGGTTTCCAGTAAGATGCACCTAATAGTCTTTAATGATTATGCCTTTTCATTTTAATGCCTAATAGTTTGTTTTTCTTTCTTGTGAGGAAATCCATAGATAAAAGTAGGTGTAGAAACAGGCTCAAATTTTAATATGTTGTGCATTATTTTGCTCTAGATCTTACAGAGTTTTCTCTTACTTTCACCTAATGTAAGGAGTTACATGCTACTTTGATCTCTGGAAGTGAACGTATCAGAGTTCACGTGAAGGGAAAAAGAGGTGCTGCCCAAACAAAACAGATTAAATTTTTTAATGAGATGGTAGGCTTTCAAGAGTAAGGGCCAATAAAGGGTTAAGCACCAAGTAAGGGCTTTCATGACTGTTTATTACTCGTTTTCTTTCAGATTGACTTTATTCAAACCCTTAGAATTTTCATGACTTCCTCTGAAATTTAGATTTGCCCACAGGCTTCTGGTTGGGTGCACTCAAGGCTTCCCATGCCCATGCTTCACATCCTACTGGCCTCTATAAAAGGCCTAAGCATTTATCTTCGGAAGGGCTGTGCTAGCTACTTCGGGTGGTCAGAACACATTCTTGTACCTTGAGGAAAGCATGTAATTTCAGAGATGAGCAATATTGAAGATGTTCTATCTACATTTGATTTTTCTTCCCTGGCTAGCTTGAAATGGCTGTGCATTGAGTGGACTGACATCAGATATCTGAAAGTACAAGGCACGTGGGATTTTCATTCTGATGCAGGGAAGCTCTCCCGTACTTGATGCAAGAAGGCTCTTCTGTTGCTCTCTGTTTTGAAGCCAGGATCTTACAGTTGAGTGTTCGTGTATCCATCTTGTACGTCCCTGGTTTCTTCAGAAATATTACCTTAAGTGCTGTCTAGAGGCTGTATTTAGGCTTAGGACAGATGTTACTATGTTTGAAACAGCATGCAATGGCAGATTACTTAACTCTAGATTTAGCATGCAGTTAGATGATCAAATGTCTTAGTTTACAGCTTTGTTCAGTGTTTGTGTGAATGAGCGTCCTGCTATAGATGAGCTAGAAGAAGAGAAACTTCAGCTTCTGAAAGTGGTGGTTGGTGAGACCTTTGTAAGTGGAAACTGTCCAGGAAGACCTTCAGGTGGGGCTTGATGGTGTTCTCATACAGTCCAGAGTTCAAACAATTAAAAGGATATGTTTAGATTGTCTCCTACTCTATCTCGTGGACTAGAAAGAGCTTGCCAAATTCTTCATAACAGAACATATCCTAAGTGTTGGAAGGAATATAGTTTTATTTCATGCCTTTTAAGGCAGGAAAAAACCGATAAGACTAAATAAAATTTGTTTGCTTCCTTTTTGTACTCAGATAATAATTTTGTGGATTTTATTTGAAACCTGTTGTGTTTTAAAGGTGAGAAAATGTCTTATTAGTAATAGAACAGGAATATCTCTTGTTCTAGCTGGGTGTCGATTTATTCTTCACCTTTCAGCATCCTAGTTAATTATTGAACAACAGGATCTAAGAGTCCAGCACAGCAGGATTTTATACTTTGATCAGCCCAAAACCATAAACATCTTAGGAACCAGTGTACTAAAGAAAAGTATTGGAAAGATTGAAAAGTGCTAACTTTAGTTTCCTGTGTACATGAAAATAAGGAAATAGTTCTTCTCTTATTGTATTATTGCCGAAGTTAATTCTATGTTTTCTATGCTGAGGTATTTGAAGATGTTTGTATTGCAAGTTAAAAACACAGATGGAATGCTGCATGAAAGAGGTGCACTGGTTTGACAGGCTGAAATGGGGGGAGAGCACGTGTGCAAATTCAGCAAAAGTAATAAATAGCATTATTTTCTGATCCCTGACCAGGAGCAAGGATGCCACTCTCGCTGCTGCACTTGGAATACTAAGGAGGCTCTTCTTGTCTCATCATTGGGTCCTCCAACATTTTAGACAACTGAAACACAGCAAAAAATAAAATGTGGTAGATGTATGTACGGACTGTAGATTCAAGAATGGTGTAATCAGAAACTCATAGAAACCAATCCTTGCATAGAAAAGCACTTGGCTTTCTTTCTGCTGAATTAAAAATAAAACTCAAATTGTTAGCAGTGTGTGAAAAGCCAATATTAGGAACACTAAAAAATGAAATGAGTTTTAAGTGTAGTATGAGTTTTTAATTGGAGAAGCACATTTAATGACATTGACTTACATTACTATTGCATAAGCATTCATCCCAGTCTGCTCTTTTACCTTTTAGGTGGTAAAACATTCACATTCCTTTGAATCACATTTCATTTCAGTTTTTGTAAACTTGAGAAAATCTATTATTTGACTTGATTGAAAATTAATTAGATGTTGTACTTGATAAATAATTTAGGGTAGCTGCAAAGTGTATTATTGCATAATTAAATATGATTAAGATGAAGGTGTGGTCTGGACTGAAGTTCTCCAGACACTTGCACTCAAATGTCGTTTCCAGAAATGACATTGGAGTATGCATCTGATTGAAATTCCAGACCATCAATTCCCATCAAACTGAAAAAGTCAGAAGTTGTTTCTTAGTAACTGTTTGTGAAATGTTTGTGCTTCTGTTTTTACAAAAATAGTTAATGATGCATTTATAGCATGTGCCTCTAACATATTTGTTTTCTAACATACCTGTTTTCTTTTGACTTTTATGACAAGTGCAGGGTTTCAAATACCTTTTTATTGCTATCTTAATTGTGTTCTGTTGATAAATCCTCATTTGAAAGTAGACATGTTGAATTTTACTTCCTTCTATGGTATCACAGCATATGTATTAGTTGAGTTATCTCTTTTGGCTTTGGATTTGTTCAACACAGACATATGAATATCTTTTTTAGTTTTTTAGTTGCAAATCTGTTGTGTAAATTGATTATTTTGAAGGTGTACCTCAATAAAACACATTAACAGGCACTGAAAAAGAGCCCATAAATTGAGTAGATGTTCATGTGAGGGTTGTTTGAGTGTAACTTCATGTGGACTATGCCTTTACGTTTCTTCTTGCTGTTGGGGTGGATAATATTGTAACATTACACCTCCTCCTCCTGCGTGCTTTTTTTCTTTTCTGTAGAACTTAACCAATTTGCTGGGTGTTTTCCTTCTTTTCTAAGCTCCTGAAGCCAGGAGACAATCAAGTGACCTTCACTGAAGGAACTGGGGTTCTTTAGTCTGTGGAAAAGGAGACTGAGGGGAGACGCTATTGCTCTCTTCCAAAATCTGAAAGGTGATTGCAGCAAGAACGGGGTTGGTCTCTTCTCACTGGTGACAGGTGACAGGATGAAGGGAAATGGCCTCAAGCTAAGCCAGGGGAGGCTTAGGTTGGATATCAGGAAACACTTCTTTACAGAAGGGGTTGTTAAGTGCTGGAATAGGCTCTCCAGGGAGGTGGTTGAGTTACCATCCCTGAATTTATTAAAAGCTGCTTGGATGTGATGCTCAGGGATGTGATTTAGCAGAGGGTTGTTAGAGTTGGGGTAGAATGGTTAGGTTGCGATTGGACTTGATGATCTTTAAGTTCTTGTCCAACCTGAGCAATTCTATGGTTCTGTGACCACACTTAATCAGTAAAAGCAGTAGTTGCTGATAAGCTGAAGTGAGCCTAAGGAATCAGGAACATTTTAAACTGCATCCCTATTAGATACAGCATCCCAACATCTGTGCTCACATCTGTCCTCAATTTCAATTGGACTAAGCAGACAGAAGTGCTTGAATAGTTTCCACCTCTGACTGATTCTCTTCTAGTATCTGTAGATTTACTGCAGTGCTGATCATGACATGTTTTTTTTTCTTTTTTTTTTTTTCTTTCTTTCTTTCTGTGCATGAAAAATAAGGATTCTAGTACTTACTAGCCTTGAAAATCTTAAGATTCTTGAAAGCAATTTGAGGTTAAATACAGTTTATAATGATATGGAATGGAATAGTGATATGACTGGAATAGACTCCCCAGGGAGTTGATTGAGCTGCCATCCCTGGATGTGTTTAAAAACCATTTAGATGTGGTGCTCAGGGACATGATTTAGCAGAGGGTTGTTAGAGTAGTATGGGTAGTATGGTTAGGTTGTGGGTGGACTCGATAATCTTTAAGGTCTTTTCCAGCCTGAGTGATTCTATGATTCTATATTACTAGAACCAAGTTAAAAAATTATTTTTAAATGATGCCTTAGTTACAGATTACTGTAACAGAAATGGAAGGTGAAATAATGAGAAATTGAAATAGTGACTTTGTTTTGCAGGTTCTTTCATGTTGGTGAATACATCTGGGAGATATGCAGGACAGAAAGCTCACCTCCTGATGCCCCATCTAAAAGAAAATGATACGCATTGTATTGATTTCCACTATTATGTTTCAAGCAAGAGTGGATCTAGCCCTGGCACTTTGAATGTGTATGTGAAAGTTAACGATGGACCTATCGGTAACCCAGTCTGGAACACATCTACTACTAGTACTTGGAACAGAGCAGAACTGGCAATTAGCACTTTCTGGCCCAATTTTTATCAGGTATGTTTTGTTTTTTATGAAATTATATTTCTCGTAGTCAGCACCTGGCTCTAAATTATCATTTTGACTTTAAAATCAAAATATTTTTCAGTATGTTTTATTGATCTTTATCTTACATTTTTGCAGATAAGTGTTTTTACATGCATACAGCTATGTTTAAATGTTTACATCTATTTGCAGAAATATGAGATGCATTCATACACACGCACGCTCTTCATATGTATGACAGATGCGAGCCCAAAATTATGAACTAAATGAATACCATGGAGAATTTACATGGATGGCCCATAGACCAGAGGAATAATAAGTGTGTACATATGTCAGCAAGGAAGATAAGTGATAGTAATTAGTTGTGTAGATGTGTAGAAATTAGTAATTATATGTGTAGAAACTGTGGGGCAGTGATGTAAATGGTATGGAATAAGGCATGAATATTGTCTTAGTTTCATAAGTTGGGTCATAATTCTTCAGAGTGTCTGTTATGATGCTATGTTTTGCTGCTAAGAGAAAAATGATGTTGGTAACACACCAATGTTTATAGTTGCTGCTCATCAGTGTTGTACAGAGCCAAAGCCATTCACAGAGAAGGGTCCAAGGAGCTGGGAGGGAACAGAATTAGGACAGCTGTCTTAAACTGGCCACTGGGGTATTCCATACCATACGACATCATAAAAAGGAGTTTTGAAGGGGATGGGAGTTCATCTCACTCTCTTCCACTGCTCAGGGGCTAGCTGGGTGTCAGTCTGGAGTGGTAAGCAATTGTTTGTGCATCATTCGTTATATACATTTATATATCTTTATATGTTTGTCATAATTATTATTTTTTCCTCTACTTTGATAAATAGTTTTATCTCAAACTGTGAGTTCTACTTCATTTTTTTCTTTTTGATTCTCTCCCCCAGCAACACTGGGAAGGAAGAGTGAGTGAACAACCATGTGGTGCTTAGCCACCTGCTGGTTAAACTGCAACAAATGTGGATGAAATAATCATGTTGAAACAATCAAGAATTTCTTCTATTGATTCCAGTCAATCACTTTAATTTCTCGATAATAAATCCAGTAATTCTTTCAGTTCATTAAGGATGCTGGAATTGAATGCAATAGATTTTACTGCATTAGAGTCTTCAGGTTTGATTTAGGTGATGAATACTTGTTGACCAGTGCAGTCAGAAATGGAACAACAGCTACCAAAGGAATGTTCTTCTGATTACATCCTAAAGATTTAGTGAGAATCTCACTTGCCAGTTTCTTAAAAGTACTGTATGGAAGCCTTAATAGGAGCAGACCAAAGGTATTGCTTAGGCACCTATCATTTTCACTTGCACTGTGTTTGGTTCCCCTGGTCTGACATTTTTCACTCATCATTTGAAGTTTTCATGAGGAAGGCTACCTCAAAGATGGGGACTGCAGACATCTCTAGGAAGTGCAGTGTTGTCCTTCCACAGTGTTTTCTATGTGTGTGTTATACAGAGAGTGACAGCAGTTTCATTCCTACATCAATATCCTGACCACTACTATCACGTATGGTAGAACCTTGTTTCTGTTTTTGCATGTGCCAGGAGTGACCAGGTGTTGATTTCTTGAAGGACATCCAGGGTAAGTTTATGGATGTCTCAGCAAGCTTCTCTGGAAGAATTCAAGGTGTGGGTCACCTAAAGTGGGCCATTGATTCAGTGGAGGATACTGGCATCTCTTCCAGAAGATCAGGCTTATTAGGAAAGTTTAGGTTATCCTAAGCATTGTAGGAAAATCTGCATACTACTTAAAACCTCATGCTCTAAAGAGGCATCTTGACCACAGAGTCCAGGCTTGGTTTAGCCATACTTCTACCTCTCACAAGGTGAAAGGGCACCTTTCTGCAAGGTTGTGTGCCACACATTACCAATTTCATGCTAGTGTTGAGAATGCCCTCCAGAGATACCAAAGAGCCTTTCTATCTTGACTGTAACAATGAACCTCAATGGGCAATAGAAGAGTAGAGCGTTCCACATAGAATTTCACAGCTGGTATGGGTTATAACTCTGGCTGCTTTGTAACAGAACATCTTCTGGAGGTATTTATGAGCTTTCTGGGTTGTCCAGGAGAGTTGTATGATGTGTGTACATTTTGCAGACACTGGGTGAACATACAATTGTGTTGTTTATGCTTTGATCTGGAGCTAGGTTGTCCACACTGGAGTTTAGAGTGAGTTAAGGAAGAAACTTAAGATTTAATTCCTTCTGAAAAGAGTCTGGTTTGGATGCAGCAGAACTGCTCTGCGAACCAACAGGCAGTGAAGATGAGGAAAGTGTTTCAAAGCCTCACTAAAGCTCTGAAACAAAGTAGTAATGTGTGTGGGGGAATTTTAACAGAAGAAGCACAGACTCTTGAAAAGTAAATTTAAGCTAAATTAAAATTCTGATAAAAATACTGCAATTTGAGAGAGTTTAAAATCTGTTGTTGATAATAATAATAATCTGTATCAGATTTCTAACAATATGACACATCTAACTGATGTCTCAGGAATATTGATATTTGGCCACTGAAACAGAAAGATAACTTTTCTCTCAAGACCTGAACCCAGGACTGTTCACCTTTATTCATAGGTGAACCCTTATATGCTTGGATCAGTTACTGCAGTTTAGGAAATTACTGTGCATCACCTTATGTAAAATAGACAGTTAGATATTTTGACACAATCTACCCTTCCTTCACTGAGGACTATATTAAGTCATTTTCTTTGCATTTGCTGCATAAATTGTGAAATTACTTCTGCTTAAGAATTGCAATTTAGTTGATGTGCCAAAATGTATTATAGCAATATCCATGGAAGTCCAAGGAATCAGTTTAAAATAGCTTCACTATTTTGTTGCAGATGAACTAATTTATTCTTGAAGGAGCTCTCTCTCCATCTTCATATTTCATGGCCATTGCCAATTTGTTTGCCTCCATTCTCTTAGAAATCTCTAATGCATTTTCCTTACTGATATAGTGATGGAATTTCTCTTTATTTCTCATGGAATCATAGAATTACAGAGCATCCTGAGTTGGAAGGGACCAAATGATCATCCAGTACAGCTCCCAGCTCCACACAGACCACACAAAATTAAACCCTTATGTTTGAGAGCAGTGTCCCAATGTTCCTTGGACTCTAGCACTTGGGGCCATGGCCACTGGGCAGCCCATTCCATGCCCACTACCTTCTGGTGCAGCATCTGTCCCTCACCCCCAGCTGCCCTCCCCTCTCAGCTCCATGCCTTTCCCTTGCGCCCTGTTGCTGTCACACAGGGCAGAGCTCAGCACTGCCCTCCACTCCCTGTGAGGAGTTACAGCTGCCAACAGAACTCCCCTCAGCTCCTCTGTTCTGGGTGAGCAAACACAGGGATTTCAGCCGCTCCTCATACATGTTGTTCTCTAGACCCTTCACAATCTTTGTAGTGCTCCTTTGGATACTCTATCATAGTTTTATGCCCTTCTTTTGTGGGGCCAAAACTGCACTTAGTGCTGGAGGTGAGGCCATACAGAGAAGAGCAGGACAACCCCTCCTTTCCCGTCAGTGGCAGCGACCCTTCTGGCTGCCAGGGCACACTGCTGACACATGTTTAACTTGCTGTCAGCCATAACCCTCACATCCCTTTCCAAAGGACAGCTCTCTAGCCTCTCATCCCCAGTCTGTACATATATCTTGGGTTGCCTTGTCCCATGTGCAGAGTCCTGCACTGGCTCTTTTGTGCTATTTTAATCTGCTTGCAGGCTCTTTCCTCTTCGTGAAGTCTATTCTGGGGATAGGCAAGAGGTTAGCTGCACGCAGCTGGGAGAGGGGATGGAGGTGGAGAGAAGTTATGTGTGGATCTTGTGAGAACGTGCATTGAAGTTAGGTGAGAGCTCAGACTGCTTAACATGTGGTGGGAGGAAGCAGAGGACCCACCTGAGAGGTGTCCTGCAACAGCTCAGTTTCTTAAGCTCCTGCTCTTTTGATTAAAACAATCGTTAGCTTTTTTTGTCACAGACTCATGTCTTTTTCACATAAAATCCAAAAGCTCCAGAACTTTTTCTCAGGATTTATCAGTGGCTGGGTGACAGAATCACAGAATCACCAAGGTTGGAAAAGACTAAAAGACCTTCAAGATCATCCAGTCCAACCATCTACCTATCACCAATAGTACTCACTAGACCATGTTCCTCAATGCAAAATCCAAACGTTCCTTGAACACCTCCAGGGTCGGTGACTCCACCACCTCCCTGGGCAACCCATTCCAGTGTCTGACCACTCTTTCAGAAAAGTAGTATTTCCTAAAATACTTCTTTCCTAAAAGTCTTCTGATAATATTGTTTAAGGAATGATAGGGGCCTTTTTAACTTTTCACACATGAAGGCTGGTAGTTTCCTGAAAGTAGTGTCCAGGAAAAGGCTCTGCTTTAGCAGATGAAAGGAGAAAGCAACACAGTGCTCTGATTTGCTTTTTTGTATCTTAAGTTGCATATTCATGTGGGCATCTGCATACCTGTGAATGCACTGTAATTCCATTCCATTAATAGGATATCCTACAAGGTTTCTAGCTGCAGATGAAGCCAAGATGTACTACAGACAAATTGTATGATAACATTCCACAGTTGTAATATTTATATAACCCAGGATGCATAAAAACAGTGGTGTTAGTCTGTTTTGCTACTGATTCATGAAGAATGTAAGCAAAATAACTCCCACTAATAGTATCTGAGTAGAAATTAAATTCTGTAGCATGGAGTGAATTTTAATCCAATGTCTAAAGATTTATTTGCTTAAACCACATATTAACACACACGCAAGGCATTCAAAAGATTTAATAGTTAAGTGTTTTATTATTGTAGCACCAGTTATCCAAGCTGCCTAATACCTTTCATGTTGAGTTTCCATTTAGAATTGACTCTTTGGAAGTACAGTTTCTGAACAAAATAATTAATTTCTCTCAGCATACACTTTTCTTTTTATTAGGTAATTATTTGTGTAGGTTTTACCCCATATGAAAGCTGTGCGACATA